TCCGAAGAATTTCGCGGCTTGCGAGGTCCCGTTCCCATTCGCGCCGAAACGCAAACTCGCTCAGATGGATTTCGTTTTTGCCTCGGTCGATCTGAAGCGTCGAATCTCCATCGGACGGATGTCGTCGGTCGAACCTCCGCAGAGTTCCGCGCAACTCCAAGTGTTGTCGCGAACTTCGAACTTCTCCGAATGTCGCAGGGAGTGTTCCGCCGGAACTGACGCGCTCGCCAGGTCGAGGCTGTTTGCCCCCGCGAAAAATTGGCACCGTCGATGCAGTTCATCGAACGGCTGGCGAGGCATCTCGCCTTCGAAGGGGACCCCAGGTGCACCTGCGTGAGGATTGTCGAAACTTAAATGAAAGTGCATTGTACTTACAGGAATTGAAGTTTCGACTCCATCCTCCGCGTGCTCCTGGGGGGCCAGCGGTTAAGCGTTGAGCTGAAACCTTGGCTCTGATTACCAAGTGGCACAGGATCGAATGTCCCGAGGAAAGGTTTGCTCAATGTTGCACTATCAATCAATACAAGGTGCTTTTATACTTCCAAGATACATCAGGTAACCAGGTTTATCCTATCCAAAGGGAATAGACCCTTCTAGAAATAGAATCACCCTGCGTATAGCCACGCAAGGCTATTGGCTTTAAGGGATTATGGCAGGATTACGCTAGATATAGCGCGCCAGTACATCCCGAGCCTGGTCGGTGATATAATTATAATAACAGGATAAACCAAAGGATAATGGAAAATGAGGAATAGGAAACCAAATGAGATGAGATAAAGACCAAATGAATCAGGATAAAAAGAGGAATGAAATAGAAAGGAAATATGGAAAGGGGAAATTGGTGTAACGGGGTCGTACTCTCACAGCATCAGGTCCCCAAGGGTGTCATCTCCAAGGCACCCACGCTCCCAAATCTTGATGAGGTTTTGCTTCGAGAACCCCCGCTCGCACTCGACCGTGCTGAGGGGAAGGACGGCGAGTGCCTGCCAGAAGCGGAGGATGTTGGGGTACGATCTCTGCCACTCGTTGTTTTCCAGTGTCAAGGTGAGCCCCTGGTGGAATCCGTCATCCTTGTACTGCAACATCATCGCCGCAATGAAGACCCACAGCTCCTGGACGGCTTTGTTGTAGACAAAGCCTGGACAAGGGATCAGAGCGGGAGGGAAGCACGTAAAAGGGTCGGTGAACAATGGACAGGGGAGCATGCAACCACAGCGTCTGTAACCATGAACCTGCAAACATGACGTATAAGCAGTGTTACCATGATTTCTTTCACCAGTCAGCTTGCCTCCATAGAGGTCGTGGTTCTGCTTCAGCCACTACTTGCACTGCGCCAGGCGCATCTCGTCGTCCAACGGGTACGTCTTTGCTTTGTAGAGCTTGCACCCCTCCATGTCACTAAGACTTCTCAAGTGGCTACGTACACTCCCCACGAGCTCGACCGCGAACTTCTGGCAGACAACAGCGCATGAGTCGAGGTCGCTCTCGGAGGTGTGCCCGTCCACTATGCGCTCGTGCAGCACGTACTCCAATGACTGCGTGTTGCCCTCATTGTCCACACCTTGGATGCGCACCCGCCTGTTGTTGGGCGACCCATGCGCCTAGAGGAACTCTCCGAGCCCGACGCTGCCGCCGTTGCCGAAGTACACTCCCCCTCCGCGCCTAATGTATCAGTCGGTAATACGGTTGCAGGTGTTGTCTACAAGAGACGAAACGACCGTCTTGTCAATCTGCGATTGGGGTTTGGTAGTACAAGTGGCACAAGCAGAGGGAAGGAACTGTAAAAACAAGACGCAAATAAACTTTGTCACGCAGAGCTACTATGACACAAGCTTTTCACGAAAGACTCATGCACGTTGCATTCAGCGATGAAAAGACAGAGGGGAGGCCAACAGGGAAAAGCGCCCAATACCTGTCGCTGCTGGAATCGGGTGTTGAGGTGGTTTAGTTCTTCAAGGATGTCCGCCAGGAAGTAGAGCATGTACTGTACTTTGAACGACGTGACTACCTCGTACAACCTGTCAGGATGACCTTGCAGCAAGACCATAGCAGCCGAAAGGACCTCGACGAAGCGCATCACTGCTTCCCCGCGAGACAACCAGCGAATGGCGTAGATGCCTTGCACCTCTAGGTTGGTGTTGCAGCATACTAGCTGAAAGTTCTCAAAGCTTCTATGTTGGGCGTTCGACCGCCCGACGAGGTCGGTGAAAGCACGGATGAGGAAATCGATGATGTTGAGTTCTGTAACGGCAGCCGCGGCGTCCTTAGCAGCCAAGGACTCTCTGAAATGGGTGGTAAGGGAGCGGGGGGTGAGGGGGGGGGGGGGGGGGAGGGGGGAGGGGGGAATGCAAGGCACAAGGAAACATGTTAGGCGATTGGTGAAACACACACATATCAAGTTAGGAGCCCAACGAACCTATGCGCGATGCAATGAGTCGCGACGAGATGTAGGATGCAGCTTTTCAGCCTGGTGACGACCCTGGATGTGGCGCCTGTCATCACAGAAGCCCCATCGGTCGACATGCCAACAATCCTCTGCAGGTCGAGGCTGATCGACGAGAGAAACTGCAATAGGACGGCGGTCAGCGACGCGGCATCGGTCCTCTCGACCGACAGCAGTGCGACGAACTCGGTGGCGACGTGAAGAAGGTGGCGTACAAAATCATGTGTTTGCCTTGGACGTGATCCGTGCTCTCATCAATCGCAATGCCAACGTAGGGGGGAGAGAGAAGATGGTGAAGCTGCTCGTCTCTCAGGTAGTTCGATATGGCCTTAGTTCCCTGTTTGAAGCCGTACCTGTAATGCGGGAGGGTCATGCACATAAGCGACAGAAGTTAGAAAAGCGATATAACCAAACAAACAATGGATCGTGTCATGTGCAGACAAACATTGTGCAGGAAATATAAAGAGCTTTGAGACTTACTCAGTGTAGTACGTCCCGTACGCCCCTCCCTGCGGCAGGTCAGGCAAACCTTCCGACGCAAGGAAGTAGCATAGGGCGACGTACATGGCGATGGGAGCGTCAGCCTTACAGACGAAGATGGCAATATGGAAGCACCGTATGAGATGCTTTGTCGAGGATTCGTTCACGCGCCTCGTGTCAAGCATGCGCTGCTGCTCCTTCTCTCTCTCTCTCTTGCTCCTCCTTGGCCTTCAGTGCGTTTTTGTGAGCCCAAGTGCTGACATGGATGCAGATGCTTCCCATTTGTAGGTCATGTGCACCCTCGCCCTTCTTTTTGTAGTTGGTGTTGCTGAACGCATCGCCAAACAGCGAGCACACATCACACTTCAACGCAGGACGACCATTTTTCATTTGTGTCAATCGTAGCCAAGGAAATCGGCGAGACCAGTCGTCGACAAAACGACGCTTGTCGATAGCGTACTCAGCATCAGCTGGGGACGAGGGGTTCTGTGGTGGGCTAGGAGTTGGAGGGGGTGGACTTGGCGCGGGGGCAGGCTTCTTCGGTGGCGGTGCCCAGGGCAAAGGACGCTGCATCTAGTGAGCGGACGCCTTCCACTTCGTTGATGCATCGACGGGTGACTCCCACGTGCTGGCAGCGGGCTCGGACGTGCCCTCGCCATACTCTATATCGAGGTCAGGCATGTCATCGTGCGACGAGCAGAGAGGTGACACGGGCTGAAAGGGATACTTTTGGTGACGAGGAGGAGGGAGGCGAGAGGGGCGAGCAGGACTAATAGGCTGCACGTTGGGAATAGTAGATGGAAACAATGGGAAACCCCCAGGACACTCAACCGGATTCTAGGAGGACGCTCTACCTGATCCGTGTCGTCGTAGTTGTCCATGGCGAGAGGATAGACGACGGGAATAAGATTGCCGAGAAACAGAGATGCGAGGAATACTGAGAGACTCTGCTTAAGCAAGAATGAGATGAAGAAGGTGGGTCTTTCTGAAACGCAGGTAATGGGCTCAGAAAGAGAGAAGGGGGGCACGCGTCATGCACACAAGCAAGTTCAATGGTCTGTAGTCGCATCGCATGCTGCTGCCTGCTGGGGTTTCTTGCTGCGTTGTTTTCGTGGGACCATGGCAGCGCAGCACCAACGCTGCCAAACAGATCAATGAGGTCCCGCCACAGAGCCAACGAGGTGTGGTCTGAGGTGGAGTCTGCCACAGCGCATGTGCGAGTGGGCAGGAAAGCCAGCACGAAAATGCCCGTGGCGGGGGGCGTACATTTTATCCCGCGCTCGAAATCCGCCACGAATCTGGTCCTTGAAGGTTTCTGTACCAGGGTATACTTAACGTCACCCTGAACGATCAGTGTAGACGGATCCGGAACCCGGTTTCTGTATGGGTAGACAATTCCTTACACTTTGTCAATCGGAGTTAAAAAAAAATATAGGTCGGATTTTTTAAGACGACGTATGAAAACACCGGGAAAAATTAGGGCAACCAGGGTGTTTCACCCGACTATTGATAAGCCTGCTTGCAGGACCCCCTATGAAGGCTGTGGAAATCGGACCCCAATTCACAGAGCTACATTTTAATGCCTTCGAATATTTTTACCTAACATCCTTGGATATTTTACAAGGGGTTCCATTATAAGCACTTGTGCGCTTATATCTGGGTGTAAACTGTAGGATCGTATATAACAGTACTGAATTTTATCAACCTTGCAATTAATTTCTTTCTGTCGAGGAATTCAAGTTTCACTCTTCGCTTTTGCGAGAGCAGCCTGGACAGCTGGCGTTCGTCAACGAAGTCTGCCACTCCCCTAATTCGCATTGCTGGCATCCCACCATCAGATCCACTTCACCTCAGATATTCGACATCAGGGTAACCGGACGAGGAAATAGCAAGTGTTCGAGACGCCCGTTTTGATAGCTGATTCAAGTGTCGTCACAAATTCGCCCTCGCCATGACGTTTCGCTACAGCGCGTGTCGCAAGCGAGCTCACGTCGCCTGCGTAGCACCATTCTTGGAAAGAAGCTGGAGCTCCTTCCTGCATCCCCTTCTCATGGAGGAAATTGCATTTGCTCACCAGTGTCTGCTGACTTTCACTAGCTTCCTTGCATTTGGCTTAGTTTCCTCAGCTTCTCGCTTCAGTGTCTCTCGTCACCTCATTTCCTATGAGTTTGAATTCAGTAGTCATAGCAATTTCCTGTAACGCAGTAATCAAATCCTAGGGTTTGCGCCCTTCCGCAGCGCTAGAGTTCGCATCACACCGAACAGCGTCGCAGAAGATAGAACCCGTGAGGTTCGAGGCTGACTTGCTTCCATTCCCGTGGAAGCACGCTCGCCATGGGACGGCCCATCGCCGGCACGGCCACGGGCAGCGCGGAAAGCCTCCTTTGGCTCGGCGCGCTGTTTGTGCTGACATGTCTCGCCGTGGTTTCTCCTGTCCGAAGCGTGCCCTACGCCCCCAACCAAGGTGCATTACTGGATGTCAACAAGATGCCGTTATACGCCGATCTGAGGTCCGACCCGCCATCGATCTGATTCTGCCGCCGAAATCAGTCACCTCTGTTTTCGTTTCGCGTGCTGCTCACGCGAAACTCTGTTCCTTTCGCCGCCTGAGTCTTAAGTCCTAAGTATCGGCATTCAAAAGTGTGAAAAGCCACTGAGAAGTGAATATTGGCTCGTCTCATATGCCGCTTCTCTTCTCCACCTCCTACTTCTACTACTTCTCCACCTCCCTCCTTCCCTCTGCCCCCTCTCCCTCCTTCTACCCTCCCTCCCCTCTCCTGACCCCAGAGCAAGCTTTCCTGACTGCCAGCAGGCATGGGGACACGTGGCGGTGTTGATTGCGTGGGCCCATGATAGCGGAACTAAATGCATCAGCAGTAGTGAAATCACAAATTGCCCCTCCTCCCCACTCCCAAACCCAGAACAAGCTCTCCTGGACTGCCAGTAGGCGTGCCACGTGAAATTACATTTTGCCCCAGTGGGGGCTGACGATTTCCGGATGGGGCCTTGGCGACAATAACTGCAACAGCAGTACTGATATCACCTTTTGCCCTCTTCTCGTGAATCCAGGGCGATCTCTCCTGGACATAAAGCACGTGTGAGGGATTGATGGTAGGAAGTGCAAAAATACCACTGATCTCATCTTCTGTCCTCCCTCCCCTTCCCTGACCCCAGAGCAAGCTCTCCTGGACTGCCAGAAGGCGTGGGGGCAGACGTTCGCTGGCTGGGGCCTTGGCGGTAGCAACTGCAACAGCAGCGCGACTAACCTCACCTGTGACGCTCAAGGGATGGTAACCACCATGTGAGTGAACCTGGAAGCTTGAGCCTTAGGCTTTTGTCCTCTTCCATTTCCAAACCTTATACCCAGTCATCCCCTTTCCATATCCCCTATCGCGCATCTCTTATCCACCACGGCCTATCTCATCCCTCATCCCCATTAAAAATTCCTAAGATCGCGTTCTGAAGTTCCACCATCAACGAAGTTAGACCATGCTGTTCGAAATGTCAGGAAACACATTCCAATGTTCGACCACGCAGTTCAAACTTTGGACAATGTGAAAGCTTCGTCCACGACCCAAGTGACCATCGTTCACGACCCTGTGCGAAGACTGTAATTCGGGTTCCTTTTCAATTGGATTTCGCATCGCAACTGTCACGATGGGAGTGGCGAAACGTGTGAGATTGGAGGCGAGATATGTTGATGTGCGAGCCTTTGTAAGTGTTCGCCCACCCAATCGCCCGCCCACTTTGGTCGCCGTAGTCGAAGTGGGGCCCACTTAGACCACCGTCACCCCCGTTTTTCGAATCGCGTGGTCTAACTTCGTTGATGGCCAAACTTCAGAACGCGATCTTATCCCAGTTGCCCTCAGAATCCCCTATTCTGCATCCCCATCCCCAGACCCTATCGCCAGCCCCCAATTTATATCCCTACTCCATACCTACCATCTCCTATCTCCCTTTTACATCTCCAATTCCTTTTTCCCCAAATCATTGTCCCCAAACCTCTACCCATTTATCTCCCATTCCACAATCCCCCATTCCCTATTTCCTATCTCCTCTCCCCCATCCCTTCAATTCAATTCTTAATTCCACAGTTCCGAGTCGGTAGCCCTAACCAGCATTCCCCATGCCTCATCCCCTATCCCTGATCCATTCTCTCCAAACCTTATCTCCGGTCCCTCATTCCCCATGCCCCTTCTCCAATCACCTCCCGCTATCCCCCATCCCCTATATCCTCTTTATCTACTCCTGGATCAATATTGCGTCCTCCGCATCTGGCTGTCCCATCCATGGTGGGGTATTCTTGACTGTGTTGCATTAGCACCCTTGTGATGTGTAAAGGGCTGTACTGTTTCCTGTTTCGCACTAAAATTCCCCTCAGGATGTTTGCTAACGATGGTCTACAAGGCTCCATACCAGCAACAATCGGCAATCTTGTATCGCTCACCTACTTGTCAGTCTCCTAACACTACGAGGATGAAGACTATGATACCCTCAGGCATTGCCAGTCTCCTCGATCTGTGCAATTCGTGAGGATAGCATTTCTTTTTTGTTACGAGTTGTTGTGTGTCCAATGTGACCTTCTCTTGTTACCATTTCATGTTGACAGGCTCGAGTAGACGAAACTTACTGTGTGCAATATACAATAAATTTGTTTTCACTAGCTTGCATTGCGTCCATTGGAAAGTGTTGCTCTTGTCACAATAATGCATCTCTATGTCATGTCATTTTGTATCCGCCCCCCCTCACCCTCATTCTTTGCTTCCATCAATCAACCCATGCGATCCTTTTGCATGCACCATCAGGGAACTGGTTTATAATTCCTTGACTGGGTCTGTTCCATCTACCATTGGCAGCATGAGCAGCCTCAAGATTCTGTCAGTATCATGGGAACACAACTGAACACGCACTGCTACATGCTTTTCAGTGAAGCAAACTGTTGTCTCTCACTGGGAGAGAGCTAGCGCATGTTTTTAATGCGTTCCTCTGTCAAATTCAATGTAAAAGGAAACTACGTCATGCCATTTGAATCCTCCCCTCCCCTTCAATGACTCCTCTTCCCTTCCTTGCTTCAATGAATCAACTCGTGGAATCATTTGCGTGCAACTCAAGGGACTTGAGTCGTAATGCTTTGACTGGGCCTATTCCATCCACCATCGGCAGCATCAACGGCCTCACACTTCTGTCAGTATCATGGGAACACAACTGAGCACGCACTTCTACATGTTTTTCACTGAAGCAAACTGTTGTCTCTTACTGGGAAAGAGAGCTAGCACATGTTTTCTATGCGTTCCTCAGCCAACTTCACTGTAAAAAGATGGCATGCCATTTTAATCTCCCCCCCCCCCCCCCCCCCCCCCCCTCTTTCAACGACTCCCCTTCCCCTTCCCTGCTTCAATGAATCAACTCATGGAATCATTTGCGTGCACCACAAGGGACCTGACTTTTAATGCCTTGACTGGGCCTATTCCATCTACCATCGGAAGCATGAGCAACCTCGTACTTCTGTCAGTACTTCTGTCACATCTGAACACGCACTGCTACATGCTTTTCACTGAAGCAAACTGTTGTCTCTCACTGGGAAAGAGAGCTAGCGCATGCTTTCTATGTGTTCCTCTGCCGACATCACTGTAAAAAGACACCTGTGGCATCCCATTTTAATCCCTCCCCCCTCCCTCCCCCCCCCCCCCCCCCTCCGCCTTTCATCGACTTCTTTTCCCCTTCCCTGCTTCAATGAATCAACTCATGGAATCATTTGCGTGCACCACAAGGGACCTGAGTGTTAATGCCTTGACTGGGCCTATTCCATCTACCATCGGCAGCATGAGCAACCTCACACTTCTGTCAGTATCGTGGGGACACAACTGAACACGCACTGCTACATGCTTTTCACTGAAGCAAACTGTTGTCTCTTACTGGGAAAGAGAGCTAGTGCATGCTTTCTATGCGTTCCTCTGCCAACTTCACCGTAAACGACACCTATGGCATGCCATTTTTATCCCTGCCCCCACTCCCTCCCCCCCCCCTTTTTCAATGACTCCTCTTTCCCTTCCTTGCTTCAATGAATCAACTCATGGATCATTTGCGTGCACCACAAGGGACCTGAGTCGCAATGCCTTGACTGGGCCTATTCCATCTACCATTGGCAGCATGAGTGGCCTCAGGCTTCTGTTAGTACCATGGCAACATCCATGTTTGGTTTTTAATGTCTACAGTTCAAACTTTAACTGAAGCGTAAAGCGACTCTCTACCTTTTTCTGGGTCCACTTGTTTTACATGAATTATGTGCATTGTTCTATCACCTTGAATTGAAATCCAACTCGTAAATATTAACAAGAAATTCCTGATAATCCTTTTTCTTCAAGTGCCCTTTTGCTTTCTTGATGCATTGCTGAATTACTGCAGGGGACTATTTTCGAACTTCCTCTCCCAGACCATCCCAGGTTCCATTGGGAACCTTATCAACTTACAATATTTGTACGTGCTCTTTCTGCAGCGTGTTAAGGTGACACCCAGAATGACCCTATTCCATACTGAGTTGAGTATTTCACAACCTAAGCTTCCAATCTATTCAGGCTAGCCTAATCTTTACACTAAACTAAGGGTAAGCTTTATTTGTGCACTGCTGCTCATCAGATACCTTCACAACAACAGTTTAAGTGGCACCATTCCCGACTCCATCAGCAAGCTCGTCAATCTCACAAGACTGTATGTTCTCTCAGACATCCCATCCTCGTTCTTCACCCATGGTGTGCTAATTTCCAGTCATCGATTTCGACCAGCTTGTGATTGGTTGCGCCCAACTTTGAGGCGGTGAAACCCAACTCCCCGACTCTGTTTCGCATGACTCAGTTCAAGCTAGGCATGAGCAAAACCGGGTATTTACCCGACCCGACCCGGTTTTGCTATACCCGACTTCGGGTCGGGTATTTTCGGGTCGGGTACGGGTCGGGTAACATGCCCAGGACCAATACCCGGACCCGAAATTTGGGGGCGGGTAATTTAATACCCGCCTGGCGGGTCCGGGTATACCCGACCCGGTTTCCTTGAAAAACGGGTAGTATTACCCGCGTTTTTCTACCCTGTTGGGCTACTAAGCCTACGACCTAGATGGTGCTTCAAATAACGTGAGCTGCGGGAGGGAGTATGAGGTGCGCCAAATCTTTAACAGTTCTGGTGTGGTGAGTGGGTCGTGAGTGGGGCCTGAGTGGGGAGTTGGTTGGGTTTTCTAGTTGGAATGGGGTTGTGTGTGGTTTCTGGGGGTTTGATTCTTTGACCCCCAGAGTCAATTGGTTGGAACTCCAACCAATGTGGTGCTGTGCGGTTGGCTGGATTCGGGTTGGGTTGCAAATTCGATTGGGGAAATTCGATTGGTTTGACTTCCAACCAATTCCCCCCAATTCAACCACTTTGAATGCATCTGTATCTACGAAACCCAACCCCTGCCAATCTACAATGCTCTAAGTGACCTAGCAGCTCACGTAACCTAGAAATTTGATGAAATTTCTCTACCAGCACGACTAATGTCTCGCTGGTTCCGTCGGGTAGACCGCTACCCGATTTCGGGTCGGGTAGCCGCCGCTACCCGATGCGTCGGGTAGCATTTCGGGTAGCGGGTATTGATACCCGCCCCGAGTAACCCGTACCCGACCCGCCGGGTAATTTTCAGGATTTCCGATACCCGACCGCCCTAAAAGCGGGTCCGGGTACCGGGTACCCGACCCGGGCGGGTAGTTTGCTCAACCCTAGTTCAAGCGTACTCACCGACCCTATTTCCCCCAAAGACCTTCACCCTATTTCCCCCAAAGACCTTCACCCTATTTCCCCCAAAGACCTTCACCCTATTTCGCCACCTCTTGAATTCGTCACCCTATTATGCGATCCTGTTTCCCCCAATGTCAAAGGCCTTTACCTCTCATGTGGATACTTCCTTGCAATGATGTGTGCAGGGAACTTGCCTTGAATTTCCTGACCGGATCCATCCCACAGTCAATTGGAAACCTTGTGAACTTGGACGATTTGTAAGTGTGTTTAGTTTCAAGAAATATATCCAGTGGGGCATATATCCAGTAGTCTGCAGTGGGACCAGTACACAACACAGCATAAAAACGCAGAAAAGCATGCAACACTCTATTCTTCGAGTCTGTAGTTTCGCCACCACTTGCACTCTGCATAACATCATCAAATATTCCAAATCAATGGTTCATTAGGCCAGGGTTAAAAAATACGCCTTTAAAAAAAAAAATACCGTATAAAACGGTATCGAACTAAACGGCCGTTTAATACAAAAAAACGGTGAAAATTGTGCAAGAATAGGTTGGTTAAAAAATACGGCCGAAATTTTCAAAAAATGTGCAAAACAAACTGACGAAATGCGCGGAACTGGCATTTCGGCTGCCGAAATCCACGGATCTGGCATTTTGCTGGCCAAAATGTGCCAGAGCTTGCGTTTTTGGCGGACGAAATGCATGGATCTGACGTTTTGTCAGCCGAAATGACGCAGATCTGGCATTTTGCCCGTCGAAATTCGTGGATCCCACATTTGGGTGGAGGAAAGGCGTGGACCTGGCGGCCGATTAGGCTGTCTACCAAAAAAATGAAATATGTTTTTTTGAGACGCTCTATTTAAAAAACGGCTTTTTTTTCCCAAATTCCCCGAAAAAAACGGTCGAATAATACGGACCGTATTTTTTGAAAACCGTTTTTTTTAACCTTGCATAAGGCTATCTTAAGATTGTAATTTACTTCTCCCACATAGAATATCTTCCCGTATGCAAACCCCGCGCGCCCAATTTCTTTGTCAGGAGCCTGGGTAGCAACAGTCTGAATGGCACAATTCCTGAATCAATTGGCAACCTCATCAACCTCAGTCATCTGTATGCAGATGCCTCGTTCATAAGACGAATCAATCAGATCCAGATTTCATACCTAAATTCAAAACTCTCAACACAGCAGCAATGCTTGTCTAAGCAGTTATGGTCAGAAATCGTATTCTTGGGAGAATCTACAATTGCGAACTCAAACCATGGGTTAGCATATACACAACTTGAACCCTCCAATAACATGAGACCAATATTAATCATGGTCGGAACTCGAACCATGGGTTGTTGCAGGGATGTTTCAGAGACCAATCTGAGTGGAGAGCTCCCTGCCGTGCTCGGTCGCGTGTACAAACTTAAATACTTGTATGTTACTTTGTCAGTAGAGGCGCCTCGATGTCTACCTTGGCCCGACTTCGGTGATTTTACTCTGCTTAAATTACAGAATTGAAACTGACATGCTTCAAACCTCTTCGAATGTTCATGAACTCGATAATTTGCTGTGGTTTTTTGCAAGGCATAGAAAAAGAGTCGTCATTGATGTGGCAACGTTCTCACACTGCTGCCATTTTCTGCCAATAGTGGTGTGACCTCATGAGTTCTCACAACCAGATAAGTGATCTCTGCGAATGTGCAGGATCCTTTCTGGCACAGCAATTACATGCCCACCCGACAACAGCAGCTGTGTGGTCCCACAGGACAATTCAACCGCCTTTTGCCTGCATTGCTCCTCCTTCTGCTCCACATGTCTCATGCCACCACCCTCTGCTGTGCCACCCACGTCACCCCACAGTGAGCCACCACCTCATCCTATATTACCCCCTTTGCATGGTCTAGCTCCCCTGAATATCATTCTTGAGTCATTTCCCACGAGCCGTGCCCAGACATGTATCTGTCTTAACTTGTATCCCCCTCCCACCATCTACATTCGAGCGTTTTCACTTCCCCACGTCTCCCTCCTCCATTCATGGAGTCAGCACATCAGCAGCAATCACCAGCAGCAGGCACCGGCAGCATGAATGCTCCATGTGCCCCATTTGCCCTTGTGCCTGTGCTCGTGAGAGCTGGTTGGCTTATCTCTCCTTCGCTTCCGCATCTCTCGGGCCTCCTTATTCTCCTCTTGCTCCTCCCTCTTGCCCCTTTCCCTCCCTCCCTCTGTTTCCAGTGAAACTCCTGCTGGAACTCCAGCAGGCGTGGGGGCAGACTTTCTATGGGTGGTTGCCTGGGGGGAACTGCAGCTATGCGGAAGGTGTGGAGTGCGATGGCCAGGGCATGGTCACCAGCATGTGAGTGCACCAAGTCTTGCTTTGCAGATGTGTGCACCAACTCTTGCTTGGCATATGAGTAAACCAATCTAGTACGACTTCTTACCCTGCGCGCCCTTCTTAAGTCCCTCTTTCTCTCCTCTCTCGTCTCCATTTACTCCATTCTCTCACGTAATCCATTACACATCCCTCCAGGGTTCTAAGTGGCCAAGGATTGACCGGATCCATCCCATCTACTATCGGCAGCATGGTCAGCCTGACTGGCCTGTAAGTAACAGCTAGTCAGGTATTGGTACACAGTCAAAAACCATCTCTCTTGATCGGACTTATGATGCAGCTGTAAGACGTGGAAGACAAACAAGATGTTCCTACATCACAAGTTTATTCTCAAATTGTCCCCTTGTGTACTTGTCTCTGTGTTTGCTTGTAATACATGTATACTTTGGTAAGGTAAAAATGCACAGGGCATTCAGTTGCATACAATGTGTAGGTTGGAAAGGGTGAAGAAAATCAGGGTGAATCCCCAATACGACCTATCCATATCAGGGTGGATTGGAGATGTCAGAATGTGGAAGATCAGAATCCAAAAAAAAGGGGATGAAGCAGCCCATCTCTAACATCCTTGTTACCTGGCTTACGCACGCCCTTGTCTCATTTCCGTTATCCTTGCATGCTTACGGGTTTATTGTTCTGTCAATAAGCGTTTTACAGTGTGGTTTGATAGACATCAAGGTAGACATGGTCAAAATGCAATTGCAATTTAAATCGCATCGCACAGGGGCGTGATTAGACAAAAAAAAAAAAAAAACAAACAAACAAACAAACGATGCGATTTAATATCGCATCTCGCCATTTTATTTTTTTAAGTCTACTCACACATCGCATTTTCTGCGCGATGGTTATTTAAACCGCATGTGATGTTTATTTTAATTAAATTGATAAATAACTGAAAACACCTTTGAATTTCGGAAAAAAACATTACCGATGGAATTTCCGCAATGGGCAGATCGCGCCTGTACAGTTTGGAACTTACAATAGCGTAAACACGCAATTAAATTTATTTATTTTAACGTGCTTAAAAAAAAACGCAAATCGCAAGTTAATCGCGATTTTCAGCGCGACGAACACGCGATTTAAATTAAATCGCGCGATAACTAAATCATCGCATCGTCCGATTTATTAAAAAAAAATCGCCATCGCAAAAACGCGATGCGATGCGATTTAATCTGCCCATGTCTAAATGCGATGCGATGCAATATCGCATCACAATGTGTCTTATCGCGCAGTATATCGCAGCAATGCGATATCGCATCACTGCAATATGTTAAAAAAAAAAACCAAAATCGCATATGGCGTTTTAGGGTGCGATATTTAAAAATATCGCAAAAAAGGCGATATATCGCGCGATGCGATATAATGTCGCATCGCATTTAGGGGCCACTTTTTTCCCGCTGAAAAAAGAATTCCCCACACCTCCTGGCAAGGCAATGGCGGCTCTCCTTGTTTTGCGCGGAGTTAGGTAAGTGAAAATGACGGGAGATGGGGAAAAGTGGTGCCTCTCTCTCATGTGGAGCGTGTCAGAGGGGCACAGGTTGGATTCTGTAGATGCAGGGGAGTTTAGTGCGGTTGAAGTGGTGGAAATTGGTTGGAGTTCCAACCAATTGACTTTGGGGGTCGAAATTTCAGTCCAACCCCCTAAATTTCTTCAACCACACACCGCCACATCCCATTCAGAAATCCCACTCACCCACCGCCCACCACCACCCATAACAAACTTGAACCTCCACCCAACTCCGCTCCCTCTACCGCACTGCACTCCTTCCCATCTAGAATTCCCAACCCTTCCTCTAATGTTCTCCAAGCTCCTCACACAAACACCTCCCCATCAATTACGCCAACCCCAAAATGCCGCTTGCCATTTCCGCTCGCCATTTCAGCAAGTGAAGTGAAACCTAGCATTTAGCACCTAGCTTACCAATCTGCCAATTTCGCGCGCACGATATGCGAAAAGTATCGCGCGCGATATTTTAAAATCGCATATCGCATTAGATCACGCTTAGAAAGGTGCGATATAATCGCGATATCGCATCGAATCGCTGCGATTTTTCCAGACAAAAATAGAAATCGCAATCGCAAAATGTGATAAAATGGGATGCGATGCGATATACCCATGTCTACTTCAAGGACCCACTCATCATTCCTCGCAAACACATCCTTGACCCTTGTTGAGTAACAATTCCTTTCTTTCATTCAGCCTTTACTCTCTTGTCTTCCCTTTCCTTTTACACATCTCCAGAGATCTCTTTGGGAACAATCTTAGTGGCTCGATACCCTTGGCAATTGGCAATCTCCTCAATTTGTGCTATTTGTGAGGACCTCTAGTTTTGAGCTGATGTGGCCATTCGCTGTTACCAAATTCGTGTTATCACTTTGTGGTACCATTCGACTTACTGTGTACGATAAACATGTGTTAATCAACATGGCTTTGTGTGCAATCAGTTTCACCCACTGAGATGTGTTAATTGTTTCATGCCCTTTTCCTCTCCCCCCTCCATCCCCCCTCTTCCTTTCACTCGCTTAACCCCTGGGATCCTTTTCCATGCACCATCAGGAGTCTGGGATCAAATGTCTTGACTGGGTCTATTCCATCTACCATCAGCAGAATGAGCAGCCTCATGCGTCTGTCAGTATTATGAGAACTCAACTTAACTTCCACCTTTGCTTTTAATGCTCGGGTGCATGATTAATACTGAAGCAAGAGGGTGTTTTTCTTGTATAGAGATCTTTCATTTTTCAGGCTTGTGCGTTGCTCTATCAGTTTCACTGAAAGGGCCAATATGTCACTACATCATCCCCTTCTCAAATTCCCCTCCCCCCCCCTGCACCCCCCCCCCCCACCGTTAATTTTTCCATCAGGAATCTGAAATGGAATGCCTTGACTGGGTCTATTCCATCTACCATCGGAACCTTGAGCAACCTCACTCGCCTGTCAGTACCATCAAACCAAAACTGATGTTCCATGTTTGGCTTGAATGACACTGCTGCATGCTTTTAGCTGAAGCAAATTTTTGTCGATCGTTGAGTGGAGGGCTGGGGTTTTTCTTCTTCTTCTTCTTTTCATTTTTGGTGCGTTCCTATACCAGCCTCACTAAGGAGAACTTGATGCTTTTATGTCATGCCCTGAACTTCCATGTTTGGCCTGAATTGCACTATTTCGTACTTTAACTGACGCATACAGCAACTCGCTACCTCGTTTTGAGTCTACTAGTTTCATATGCCTACTGTGTGTCTCGTTTTCACTGAAGAATGGTCAGCTTGAGTGGAAAGGCAACTCAGTGGTAACAAGAGCATCCGGGAAATCGAGCCCTTAAAAAGCCTTTTCACATCCTTCATGCATTGCTGCTACTAATACGTGCAGGTATCTAGGCAATAACAACCTCTCAGAGTCCATACCAGAATCCCTTGGGAACCTCATCAACATGGAGGAATTGTACGTGCTCAAAATTTGTTCCGTAAAGCTACAAAAGACGAGTGCCTACACAATGTGACACGTAACAAGGATAGACCTGATGCCCAACTGAGTGTTTTTGTCATTTCGTAATTCCAATCTGTATGAGCCAGTATATTTTCGACAAATGTGATGTAGTAAACCTCATGTGCAGTACTGCCTTCTGTGTTTTCGCCCCTCATTTCGCCCCCCAAGGTGGCTCTACAATAACAGCTTAAGTGGCAGCATTCCAGACTCCATCAGCAAGCTAGTAAATCTCACAGTACTGTATGTTCTCATCTCCCCTTCCTAACGTATGATGCATAGCCATGTGCCACGCTTCCATATGACAATGGATTACACAAATCTTGTGGACATACAGAGTTGTGAAAACTGAACAAGAAATTCAGCATTTTGAACCATTCTTTCTAGTTTTTATGACGGAAAATAAGAGCTTTTCCAAGCGCTATGCGGGAAATTCCTTATCAAAGCTAATAGTCATCAGCGATCTCCACAGAACGTCCTTCAGTGCTAATTTTGTGCATGTTCATGTCTGCGTGTTTCTGTGGGGGGGGGGGGAGGGTGGGGCGGTGTTGTTTGCATTGCAGGGATGTCAGCCAAAACAATCTCACCGGCAGCCTTCCTCCAACTATGGGCAGCCTTACCCGTCCTTTGAACTTGCACGTTAATCCAATGACCCCGCTCAATCATTCACAATTCTGGCGCACTAGTCTCACTCCAGGGCAACCCCAGAATGCAGAGATCATTGTGCAACGAGATTTACTACGAGGATTGAATTTCAATCTCGGAATTTAAACATTTCAATCACTCTCTGTGCACGTGCAGGATAATTAATGAAACTGCTATCACGTGCCCACCGGACTACGGCACCTGCATGGTCCCACAGGACAATTCAACCACTTTCTGCCAGCAGTGCCCTGGCTTCTGCAGCACATGTATCATGGCACCACCCTCCTCTGCACCACCCTTGTCCTCCCAAAGTGAGTCAGCACCTCTCCCACGTTAACTCCTGCCGCTTGGCTTCTCTCCCTTGGATATCTCAGTTAAGTTCTTATTGCGAGTCCCGTCTGGAATATGATTTGCTGGGATGACTATGAGCTCCACGTTTCCCTCCAGCACTCGTGCCAATGCTGCAAGTGACTGTTGGGAACGTGTTTTTAGAATTCTCAAAACATGGCCACATGATGGTGGGGGGCACATGCCCGCCGGAACCCAGCACCCGTGTGGTACAACAGACTCACTCCCCTACAAATCTCCTGCCATCCCATACTTTTTCCAACGCCCCCTTCCCCACCCCCAGCCTCTCCATCCCAGCCTCAACCTGGAGCCTCTCCCTCCCAGTCTGGAGCCGGACTGTCAGTAGGCGCCATCGCCGGCATTGCTGCTGCTGGAGGTGTGGCTATCCTCGCGGTGCTGCTGCTGGTTCTAATGCTTTGCAAGCGATGGCGCACCGAAGGGGCAGCAGCACGAGGAGATGGTGGTACTGATGTGGAGGACAAGGATTTGGCAGAAGAAGATGCACTCCAAGGTAAGATACAACAAAACTCTGATGCACTTTTTCCTATTCCACCAATGCAGGTTCCATGCACCAACCAGGAGCTCCACAGCTCATTCTCACTTTCATTATCCTCTCAATACTCACTGCCAGAGTTACCAGGAGTAGCATACAAGGCAGAGGAGAGGGACCCCGAGGCAGCAGCAGCCGCAGCAGCAGCAGCAGCTGTGGCAGCAGAAGCAGCAGCAGTACGTGTGCAGGATGTAGGGGATTTGGTGGTGGATATGGAGGCAGTGAAGCCGCAGGTGTGCCAGAAGTTCACTCTGGAAGAGCTGGCAAACGCAACAGCGGATTGGGCCGAGGGGAACAGGATTGGCAGCGGCAGCTTTGGGGATGTGTACAAGGGCGTGTCGCCGTACGATCTTAATGAGATATGGGCTGTGAAGCGATCCAGGATTCTCTCCAATGACTTCCTCACTGAGGTATTGCACTACAGATGGTGCTGCTTCTGGCCTTACACTGCAACTGAAGTTGCTCTTCACCCGTTCTTTTTTACTCCCCCACAACCCTCTTTATCTTCATTTGTCGCTGTGTCCTTATCCCTTGTTCCAGGTGAACGAGATGGCATCAAAGCACCACCCGCATCTGGTTCGGCTGCTAGGATTCTGTGTGAACATCGATTTGAGCACGAGCCGCATGGAGCAGCTGTTAGTATATGAGTTCATGGCCAACCGAGACCTTGAGAGCTGGATCGGACCAGGTACTGCACTCCCACCACACCGTTTTATGTTCCTATTCTCCCTTGTCTCTTTCAATAGTGCTCCATTGCACCTCTCACTATAGTCTTGACTCAATTGAAAGGACCATGTATAATGTTTGCTTTGGCTTGTACGGCTCTTCACATGCTATTTTGGGAATCCAACCGTCCTCAATCCCAAATACATTTTCCCCATGAAGTCAAATTTCATCTTCAGTCCAACTATTGAATATACTTTGCTTGTTTCTACCCATGTCTACTAGCAACTAACAGTCCATTCTGTCCCTTTTCAGGTGCTCCACAACACCTTTCGCTGCTGCAACGCCTGGACATCCTTATTGGGGTTGCAAAGGGGCTGCAGTACCTTCACGATTTTGGCATTGTGCATCGCGACATCAAGCCAGCCAACATTCTTCTTGACGCGAAAATGCAGGCATGTCATAGCTCTGTTATTTCGTGCGTGTCCCCTGACTCACTAGAGCAAAGTTTCTTCGTCGCTAGCATGATGTGAGTCGTTGGGAAACCATGGTGATCTTATCTTATGGTGGTCTTTCTCTGCATTGGTGTGCTTGTGGTCGGTGGCCAGGCCAAGATTGCGGACTTTGGCCTTGTGAAACTCATTGGGGGCACCGCTATGGGCACATCTCTAGCTGCCACTCGAGTGATGGGAACACCGGGCTATGTGGATCCAGCCTACTACAAGTCACACAAGGCCACTACAGCAGCAGATGTCTACAGGTGAGCAGACATATCTATACAGCTTCTTTCCAGTAGCATACATGTATCCCTTTTTAGCTCTAGCATCAACTACATACTTGCATGTCATCAATTCTATTTCCGTCCAATTGTTCCATCTATCCCCCTGTCTGGTGTTGGCAGCTTTGGCGTGGTGATGCTGGTGGTCATTTCGGCACGCAAGGCCCTCCATGTGGAAGAGGACAGCCATATCAGCCTGAAGCAATGGGTGAAGCATAGTAGCCAGATGCACATAGTCGATCCCTCTGGGAAAGTTTTGATGACTGCTGATCCGTCTCAAATGATCCCCATGGCAATGCATTCGAAATTGCATTCAGCAATGTTTCTTTCATGGTTGGGTTCCCTTTTCCAGGTCGCCCCATTTGTGGAGTCCGGTGCCGTGGCAGTGTTCAAGGACCCTTACCTGGATGCTCCAAATGATTTCGTGCTGCGCTTGGCCCGCCTTGCCCTCTCCTGCACTGCCATGCCTGCGGCCTCCCGCCCCTCCATGAATCAACTGCTGGGAGAGCTGGTGAAGTTCAAGCAGGAAACATTTGGAGCACACGTGAGCAAGGCTGTATCGACCATCTTCATGGAAGCTGGGAGTTCAGTTGGTGGCTCCTCTGGCTTCACTGCTGAAATGGTCCGTGCGGAGCGTGAGGGTATGCAGAGTGGCTCCATGCCATAGGAGGGCAATGTTAGAATGCTAGCTTAGCTAGGAAGCTAGGAAAGGCTTGAGGTTTAGTTAGGAGGAGCCATGGAGTGGCGTGAGGTTTAGGAAGGAGAAAAGTTGAGGAGAGAAAAGGAAGTTAGGAAAGAAGAGAGGGGGATACAAGGAGGGGTGTTGTACCCCCTACAGTAATGTTCAGTAACATCTAATCTACCAAGCCTACACATTATATAACTCAATATATAATTGTAACAAGCAAGACGTACTGAAACTTGAGGATTTGTTTAGCCTACTATGGAAGGCCTCAGATTTCAGGCAAATTTCCCTGATTCAGGGTTTTTTCAGAGGTTTTTTCGGTACCAACCCTGATGCGCTAGGATTTTTTTTAGACACAACCCTGAAATTTCAGGGCTTTTTTTTTAGTTAACTCTGCTTGTACAGCGTAGCTTTTGTACAGGTCCCTGTATCATCTGCCTAACGGGCAGCTACCCCGAATCCTATAACAGCGTGATTTGGGGCCCTGCCATAATGACCGTATGTTTCCCCTGCTCGATGTGTGCTGGGGGGTTGTGTGAGGGCACTTGGCCCTTAGCCAATTTTAGGGCTAGCGTGTGCTGGGGGATTTGTGAGGGGAATTTTTAACCCTTCGCCACATTCAGGGCCCAATGTGTGCCTCGCGGCTTTGTGAGGGCGAGATTTCCTCCCGCGGCCCGCCCCTGCAATTTTGCTCTGCTATCCGATTGGATCGACCAGCAAAATATGATTGGCTGAGGCTTCCTGAAAGTGTAACCGCAAAATTTGATGGGCTCAGCATCATCATGATTCCCGCGGAAATCCTCCCTCCCTCCTTCCCCACCCCCATTCCGTCCCGTCTGTGCCCTCCCCGAATGTTGTTCCACCCATCTCCCAATTTCGTCAAATCAGCGTGAAATTTTGAAGAAACCCTGTTTACTCAGCGGTTTTTTTTTTTGGAGGCCTGAAAAATCAGGGTAAACATGGGGGGGGGACCCTGAGCAATCAGGGTACCTCAAAACTAATCTGAGGCCCTATATGGAAACCTGACGGTTTGAGTGTTTGGTGGCTTCCACCCAATAGAAATTGTGACCGTGCTTTTGGGGCGATAGGCCGGAAAATGCTCCCTTCATATGAAACGAATCGAGCTATATTTTCTTGTCAGAAAAATCGGCTACTGAAAATTCCAAAGCCATGTAGATTTGATTCTTCCCGCCAATCTATTGTCACTGTAAATTCTGAAAAGCCTTGAGGGGGGTTGGGGGGGGGTGGTTGAGGGGGGGAGGGCGGGGGGGGTGGGTTTTGGGGGTTCACATATGCGGAGGATTTTGATAGGCAAGAATGGATGCATAACATCCGGATGAAGCAACGAGTTCACCAATTCTTAGATTTGAAATACACGAGAGAATAATCGCTTTATCTTTATTCACAGTGCAGCTCACTTGTTCCTTTAGGTTCCCTTAAGTTCTGTTGTGAGCTATATGTGTTTAGTGCAACCTGGCGATTGTAAGTGTTACGCCTGTTGCGGTGTTGAAGGTTTGTTCAGCATTCCCTGAGAGCGTGTATATAGTGCCCAGCGACACCCCTCGACAAAAGGGATGTCGAGGCATCGAGCTGTAACCTTTCTGCATTCCTGTACGAACCCTGAGGGTTGGTGGGTGGGGGAGGGGGAAGGGGAGGTTCAATCTGGCAGGAGCAGATGGGGATTGGGAGTTTTGGGGTGGATGTGTTAGCTGGCAGAGAGAGGCACGTTGCTGCTGGCCACCACTGGGGGGTATGACAGGGTGGGAAAGGGGACGAGGGGAGTTGGAGGAAAGGGATAAGCGCATATATACAGCTTCTCTATCCGAAACCATGATCGCTAGTCATCCTGATGGCTTCTCATCGCACAGTCAGATGTGCCTTGCTTGTGATGGGGCAGGGAGCTGCATGTATTTACGTGCCTCATATATTGTGGATATTTCCGTGCACATTTTCTCCTCTGCCCCCCCCCCCGCCCCCTTTCCCCACCCCATTCCCCCTCCCCCCTCTGCAGTCACCAGGGGGGCGGATGATTCCTCTCTGGAGCACTTGGATGAATGAAAGGCCGACAGCTGGATGCGGGACCTGCCTGGATGAGTCTTGGGGCAGGTAACTGGGCGGAATGGTTACTACCACCTCTGTCAGTGCAAATGGCATTGCAATACGCCCATATAGGAGGAATAACCTGAGGAAATACCTCAGGGAATGTAAAAGGAATACCGCAGTGGTATACACAGAAGCACGCACACACACACACACATGCGCGCGCGCACTCACACATACACAAACACGCACCCACACGCACACACACACACGCGCGCGTGCACACACACACACACACACGCACACACACGTGTGCACACACACACACACACACACACACACACACACACACACACACACACACGTGGCTGTTGCGAATCGCTCCCCATCCCATCCATCCCCGTTTGTACCCGTTTCTAACTCCTGCATACTGTCTGCTTCTTCAGCGCTCGGACTCGTTGGTAGCGCTAGATCTGATAGCCACTGCCACGGGTAAGGACGAGCTGGTTTCTTATGTGCCCTTGTGATTTCACTTCACCACCTCACTCACTTCCCCATCTTACTCACCCCATAACCTCTCTCCACTTTAGTGGCTCAGGCAGGATCTGATGGCCATTGCCATTGAGGACGAGGGGGGCGAGAGACGGGAGGAGGCTTGCTCCGCTGCTCGTTTCTGGCCCACCACTCCCCTCTGGTCCCTCAATTTTGTGGATCCTCAAGAGGGGCACGCTCTTTTCCTCCAGTCCCACCTCTATCACATCCAGTGCACTCTATACTTCCTGTCCTTGATAACGCCTCCCATTATTGGTCCCTGTTCCCGGTTCTCCTTAGTCCCACTTGCATTCATCCTCTATACCTTCACCTCTCTCCTCTCCACCTTCTCTCCCCATCACTTTCACCCCCCTCCCTTTCCCCCAGCACCATGGTTGCAGCACAGCCCCACAAGCAGTTATGGCGGAGACAGTTGATTCAAGCAAGCTCTCACTGGAAGCCAGTTCAAGCAAGCACTCCCTGGAAGCCAGCTGCTGCTGCTGCTGTGTGGGCTGTTCTTCTGTTGACCCTTTGTTCTCCTGTATTGCTGCTTCCCCTCATTGGATCGCAGAGTCGTTTCTGACAAGTACCATCACACATAGAAAAGCTTTGCAGCTAATTTTCCTTGTGAGTGCCCAGTGTGTAAACTCTGCAGCAGATGCCATTACTCCATTCCAGCTGGTTCTGGACAGAACTTAAGATTGCAGCTTAAGACCTGCTGGTGTTCTTGAAGAACAGCACTACTGGATTCTGCGCTGCCCTCCATCCCTCCTTGCTACCTCCTACACTATCCCGCATCTCTGTATTCCATCAATGCAGGACCCTCTATGGGAACTCACTCTCTGGTTCCATTTCGGAATCTACTGGACACCTTGTGGACCCGCAAGAGCTATAAGGGTTTGACCTTTGGTCAATGGATGGTTGTTCTTGCTACAGGTAATGCATTGGCAAAAAGAGCAGTAAATGGTTCTGCAAGAGTTGGCAGGATATGGAATGGTGGGCTCGGGGCCCGGGGGGGGTGTGGCGGCGGGAGGGGTGGCGGGGGTGGCGGAGATGCCGGAGGTGGTGGAGGGGATGGTGGTGCAGACGAGGGGACCGGGGCTCTTGCCCCGGCGCAGCAGCAGGAGCAGCAGCAGCAGCAGCCCCAGCAGTAGCAGCAGCAATCGCAGCAGCACCAGCCGTGGGGACCCCCGCCACCGTGGTGGCCTGGCGACGCTGGTGGTGGTGATCGTGGTGGTGGGCCACGCAGCTTGGTATCGGGTGGCGGCTCTAGTGTGGTCACTTGCCAGTACCTGCTTCAGTCTAGCCCCCGTCGCGGCACCGTCTGTGACCGTCCCGGTCACACCGCCGCCCACTGCTACCACTGCCTGGATGACCTCTTCCATCTTTGCTTCGGCCCCGCTTGGGACCCCTACAACTGGCACAGCCTGGTGCGTTGCCGTGTGCATGTCTTTGAGCTGGATAGGGATCAGATTAGGTCTACTATGTATGTCCTGTATGCTGATGACTCTAGTGTGACAGGACCCTATTATTTTGTGTTGCCAAGTGTAGGTATGTCCACTATGTGTAGCCTAGGTTCCCCTGCTGTATCAGGCGTAGGACCACCTACCTTGTTTAGCCTCAGCTCCACTCTAGCTCCTTCGCTTTCGGACGCCCCTGCCGAGCTCTCTTTCACACTAGACTCGGGTGCGTTTGTCTGCTTCTTTCGCGACCACAGTGCGCTCACGCCGCTTGCTGCCCCTGTAGCTTTCGCGCTTGCTGACCCCTCCTTAGGTCCGGTAGTTGCTCGTAGCTCCACCACCCTCCCTGACCAACGGTTCCCTTGGGCTCTCTTACAGGCCTGCACATCCCCTCGTTCTCCAGGAACCTAGTTGGTGTCAGCTGTCTTTAGGATCTCGGCGTCACCACTACGTTTCCGGACACGAGCGGTATACGCGGTCTGCACCGAGGCCGGTGTCTGGCCTGTTTACGTTTAACACCATGTCCCCCCCGATGAGGGCATCTCCCCAGGTGGCCGCACCCTCCTAGGTCACTGCGGCTTGCTCGTGTCGGTCGCTCACTCACCTGTCGCTTTTGTGGCACCACCACCTAGGTCACCCCGCACTCTCGCATCTGCGTCACATGTCCTAGCATGGCCTTGTCTTATGTCTCCCTGCGACGCTCCCTGCTCTCTCTCCCTTGCCTGTGCCACCGTGCATACCCTGCGTCGAGGGCCAGCTACGCCGTGCTTCTCACTCCTCCTCGCTTCCCCCTACCACTGCATCACTCCAGGCCCTACACCTGGACGTCTGGGGCCCAGCCCCCGTCGTTGGGCCGCGTCGAGAGTGCTACTTTCTAGTGCTTGTCGATGACTACACGCGCTACACCATGATGTTTCCCCAGGAGGGGAAGGCCGACGTGCCTGACATTCTTATCCAGTGGGTCGTAGCTGCGCGAGTCCACCGCTGCCTCCCCGTGTTGCGTCTGCACTCCGACCATGGTGGCGAGTTCGCCTCCGGTCGGCTTGGCCAAATCTGTCGTGCGGAGGGCATCACCCAGTTGTACACTCTGTCAGACTCCCCGCAGCAGAATGGGGTCTATGAGTGACGCATCGGTTTGGTCATGCAGGTGGCTCGTACATCCATGATCCATGCCAGTGCACCCCATTTTC